AAAAAAATAAACTTCAAGACGTAAAACAAACAAAAGTATTTTATCTACTTAGTCCTTTATACGTCAGCAGGCACAAGTCCTCAAAAAGGCCTTTAGTTTTTCTGCGAGATACCAATACACTTTATTGTATTGGGTTACTCTTATTCTGACTATTTGGTGATGTAGTTCAGCCACCTGGTATTTCCCTCTCCAAATATAATGACCATCAGAGTAAGCATTCTTAACTTATAAGCTATTGTGCCACTTATCCCCCATTCGGAATTTGACTCTCTCAGAGAAGAGGTAGGCCTATGTCTAAAGAAATCTCATTTGTAATAGAACTGTAGCAGATATTTCCATACAACTACTGGTTAGTGTTCAATAGCACCCTAGACAATTCAGTAATGGCATATTTTTTAGGGATTTCTGTTTTTCTGATAAATGAGAGAAAAGTGATTGAGTCCTATGTTCCTATCACCAAAAAGTACAATTTCCGTCTAAACTAAAGCTAGGTTTACAGGACTATAATTCAGTATTTAAATAATTGTCTGACTATTTGGTGATGTAGGACAGCCACCTGGTTCATACCTTAGTAAATCTGAAGAGGAAAAGAGAGGTCATTCTCAAGTTATGGGCTTTTTTGTCACCTTTCCCATATTCGGTCTGGTCTAATTTGGCTCTTTTCCAGGAATTGGGGTTGTTCTAAAGAACAACCCAAAAAACATTTTTTCCCCAAAAAAATTAATTTCATTAATGGTAGACCCTAAAGATAAGAAAAATCATTGTTTTAATTTGTTCTACCTCGGGTAGGGGTATCTTGAAAACTAAAGCCTTTTTTGAGGACTTGCTGCTGGACTATTAGAGCAGCTAGCACCAGATGCTAATAACAACAGCGCTGGTACCGGTGCACCCTCCCTCTCTCCCTCGCTCGCTCCCACGCTCACTCGCACTTTGGCTGTGAGCTGCGGGTGCCAGATAAGCCAACATCCCCCATTTTCATCACTTACAGCGCCCATCGTACAGGGCAAATGAAAAGTGTAACCGGGATGAAAAGGGTGTTACATGTACTTAATTATGAATGTTGTTACATCAAGGCCGAAAATTAGGATTAGCACCAACGGTCAAAACATTTTTTTTTCCTCCCAGAGCTGTCAGCGCAGCGCCTCCACAGTCTGGCGCCCGAGTCGAACATCTGTAACGCCAGTGCGACGGGCCGGCCCTGGTCTCAGGTTACGCTGTAGGAAGTGTAGGTACAGCGCTACATTTCCCGCCCGCCACAGTCATACAGTACGGAGAGCGGCGAGAAACATTTCCTCAGGCATCGAAAAGTGGAACCGAAATTCACATGTCTATATGATGCCGTTGGAATCGAAATGTTGGAACCGGTTCCGGTTCCCGGTTCTCGGTACCCAACCCTAATTATGTGTGGTGGTTAAGCAGCCTGACGGCCCAGGGGTAGAAACTGTTTTTGAGTCTGTTTGTCCGTGACTTGAAGCTCCTGTATCTCCTCCCAGAAGGCAGGAGGGAGAACAGTCTGTGACCTGGGTGAGAGCTGTCCTTTATTATTTAGTTAGCTCTGTTGGGGCAGCGGGAGGTGGAGATGTGTTCCAGAGAGGGCAGGGGCAGCCGATGGTTTTCTCTGCCATCCGTATCACAGAATTATTATAGCGTTCGGTGGTTTTTGTGAGTGCACTTGAGGATACATTCAAAGTTCTTGAAATGTTCCGGATCGACTGGCCTTCATTTCTTAAAGTGATGATGGACGGTCGTTTCTCTTCACTGAGTTGAGTGGGTCTTGCCATAATATGGATTACAACAGTAGTCAAATAGGGCTCTCCACTGTGCACTAACCCTACCTCTAACACATTAAGAAAGCAAGTAATTCCACAAATTGACTCTTGAAAAGGCACATGTGTTAATGGGAAACCATTCCAGGTGACGACCTTGTTATGGCAGATTCCTTATTACTAGAGCTGCAACAAACGACTAATTTTATAATCGATTAATCTATCGATTAATGAAACGATTAATCGACTATTCGGACTATTATGCCTTGCACAATTTCTCAAACGCTCTTATTTAGCCATCAACTTTTAGATTTAGCTTGAGGTTGTTTTAGGCATGTGGAAACTAACAATGAAGACAATAAAGATGAATACTTTATTCAAAAACACATATATTATTGAACTAACTAAACACATTTTGAACACAACTAACATTGCTTTTTATTTAAATAAAATAAATAATATTTCACATCAAAAGAAACAACAATGTTTTAACAAATCGTATTAAATAATGTGATAACAGAACTGTAAACAGAATAGCTGAAACTTTAACAAAATAAATAACTCAGTTACCTCTAATCATTTACCCATGTTTGTATAATTGAGTTAACTCCGTGTGTTGCTGTTAGCATACATAACACCTGACGTGGAAACGTTACTCGTGGACGGGGCTGGAGAGCTACTAGAAAGACAGTCGAACCCGCTGTATTCCTTGGCAACACTTTTTTGTTAACTAGATAATTCCATATGTGTTCCTTCATAGTTTTGGTGTCTTCAGTATTAATCTACAAAGTAGAAACAAATTAAAATAAACACAAACCATTGAATGAGAAGGTGTGTCCAAACTTTTGACTGGTACTGTATATAAAAAACACAAATATTTTAATATTTAGCAGGTTCCTCATCTATAATCATTTATAC